AGCTCATTGTTGAAAATCCATGGGGACTCCTCTAATGCTTGTGTTCCCTGGAGGCTTGATAGAAGGTTAAGAATACATTCTCACAAAGACTTATGGAATCAGGGACACCTAATCCTACACAGAGAATTACCAATCCTTCAGTGAACGCCAACTATTTAGAGAGCTATTTCCTATCACATGAGGTTCCAACATCTCAACTTTACCACTTCCAGCCCATTGATCTTCAAGCCTTTCTTGGGCATCTGACAATTGTAACTTTTGTATCAAGCCCTTCACTGTGTCCATCATTGCTATCAAGGTCACACTAGAGAACAAAACTAGGGAAACAAGAGTATTACGAGCATGCACCATAGATTGTGTGGAAGGCTTTTGGTGGAGGAGGTGAAGGTGGGGTCCCATCACCGTCGTATGTAATTGATATAGATATGTGTTATTGACATCATATGACTCTAGACTAGTCTACATACATCTATATACCATATAACTCTCAACGTGCCCATCGTTCGATTGTAGTCACCATTGTCCCCTACCCAATACGTATCCACCACCCTCCTTTTGTAGATTTCTAGTTCCTTTTTAGGCGTGCAATATGCCTCTCCATGTCTCCCAAAGAACTCGAACTCCACTCCTTCTTTTGGCGCCAACCCCTTAAGTTCTTAGCAATTGTGCTCCCACCCTCACACGATATGCATTCAACCATGCATTGTGAACCGTAGCCTCACAATTTTCTTCTTGCAGCCACTTGGTGTTAGAAAAGCTCCATGACCACCCATCCTAATGTGCATCAGATCCTCTTCGACATGGATTGTGATGGGGTGGTGATCATTGTGACGAGGGTCACCACTAATACGATCAACATTAACCATCTTATAGTTTGGAAACCGAGTGCACCATTCATGTGTAGCCACCACCTCTCAAGACTCTCATGAATGTACATGGCATTTTCTGGCTATGATGTCTACTTGTAAAAGGATCTTCCACAAAGCACACTTGGGTTTGAGCTACCCCGCCATTCTTTTCACAAGATAACAAGACTTCACTAAAAATTCCCTAACGCATAGCCAGGGGAGCTTACTATGATGCTTAATATTTCTCAACAATATCTGCGTGGTTTCCCGCTCTTCCATCTTAGGTTATCCATAAAATACTAGTAAACCTCCGTTGGAACCTAAAAAAAATTCAAGAATCACCACATCAACATGATATCTCGATATAAACTTGTTTTAGTTGTACAATTCCTCCAAAAATTGCCAAACAAACACTATGCCCCGACAAATTTTAGCCACCAATTTGACAAGCCAAGATTCCACAAAACAACTATAGACTTCTCTTATCCACCTTTGTCCCAAAAAGGAAAGAAAATTGGGGCCCTCCTTCTAGGTATCCAAAAAACGTTGGGTCATTCCCCAAGCCGAGGTAGTCAGGCTGGGCGTTTGGGTTTACCCAAAAATTCGGGTCAGGTAATTTGGGCTTTCAAAAATAATAGTCGATATTTGTCCAAACTTTTTTGATTCTAAGCAATTCAGATATCCAAAAAATCGGGTTTGGGTAATCCCGAATTACCCAAAATACCACACAAAAAACACCGTGTTGCAGGGGCAGCGTGAGGGGCTCTTCGTTCAGCGGCTGGATTCTAGCCGGAGCAAGAGGTTGTCGGGGAGGTGGGACTACACCCGCAGAGGCGGCAAAGCTCGATGGTCAGAGCTCATAGAGATGGCGGCTGGAGGCTAGAGCCGATGAGTGCGTGTCGTTGTGGTTGGTGCTGCATTTGGGAGGTTGGTCGGGCAAGCACAAGAGGAGGAGGGAAGCAGCGACATGAGGGAAGCTCGACCGGAGTGGCCTTGCAGGTCACCTGAGCCAAGTGGCAACCATGCATGGTGGCGGCCGTTGGCTTGCTCGGCAAAGCGTGGGTGTGAGGAGGGGAGGAGGAGTGTGCATGACTAAGTGGTAAACGATCTAGGTTTTGCGAGGGTAGCGACTAGCAAGTAGAGATGCCGATTTGGGCCGAGAATTTTCTTGGTTGTCTATGCGTGCGATAATTATACTGGGTTGTAGAACAAGTCAGGCTATTCAGGTTATTTTGGTACCATGGCCTTATACCTAAATTACCCAAAACATCGGGTTTCCAAAACTTCTATCGTTGTAGTGCTCAGGTTTTTTGGGTTTGGGCAATACAAGTTTGGGTTTTTTGGGCTCGAGCTTCGGGTATCAAGTTTTATGCCCACTGTGATCAGGTAGTTCCAGGAGGTAATATGCATTGGTTCTCATAGGGTTGTCCATGCAACCCCAAGTTCAGATTTTCCGTTTTTCTAGACTTCCATGACTCTCTTTTCTTCTTTGCATCAACTTCCATGCCCTCGCATGTAATCATGTATTTCTATTTAATGACCACATTCAAATTAGCACTGTAACATACCGTCTACCGGCCCTTTTCTTTTATACACCCCAAGTTTTCTTCATTTTCTTTACCTTCCTAGTTCAGTACGTTGCATGCCCCATGCAAAAGGTTTTTGTATCCTTTCTCTTGACGTGCATGGCCCATGCAAGTCACTTCCCAAAAAAGTCCTTCCGCCCTCCTATCTCCATTCCTCTATCGCCTTCGCATCCTTCCCATGTGTTGGTTCACTAGGAACCATCTTGTCGTTGCACCACTAGCCTCTTATTGCATTGACAACTTTTCCACTATCATAGTTCTATTCGCTTGCTTCATATCCTTGAAAATAGTTAGCTTTTATGTTTCCAACTCTAGTCAAGCCCTTCCCTACCCTATCTGTCAACTTCATAATGCTCTCTCTCTCCCCCTCTATCTCTATCTCCCTCTCGTCGCTATCTTGATCAACATTCCAACATGACCAAGATCCATCGTCTTTTCTCCATGAGAGATTGTCACTGCTAGAGCCACAAACCCCACTACCGAAGCTATCATTCCTCATGGAGTCCTCCCCACAAATTCCTCTCATGCCATAGTCCCCACTTTGGAGGTATAATTTCCAACCATTTACCATATTGTTGCACCTCACATTTCTTCATTTTTATTAAGCAACCCTTAATTGTGTGACCAATAACCCCTCTCATCAACGGTTTAAACATCTAGGCCTTCACCCTAGGTCTGGTTAAAAGAGTGACCCTAATCAGAATGGCCAAATTCTTCCTTTTTAGTTTTTATTAAAAAAAACATATTATAGTGTATGAGAATACATGCAAGATGATATTGCCCTATGACCATTCCAACTTCACTAGTAGCGGCTTCTTGAACTTCTCCTATTGCTTTACCTCATTCACTTGTTCGCAATCAATAAAGGCAAGCTCAAAATTCACAACCAAATCAATATACATGAAAACTCGTACTCCTCAATGGTTTTAGTAGCATAAAAATCCCCCATCACAAGTAGATCATCGTCGAACATCCAAGGGCCCTCCTCTGATACTTTGTGTTGCTTGAAAGGCTTGATAGAAGGTCAAGAAGACTTTCTGATCGAGACTTTCGTAGTTAGGGGTAACATATCCTACATAGTGTATTGGTCAATCCTTCAACATTGGCTTTACAAAAAGCAATTTCCACACCGCCTGAGGTTTTATTGTCCCAACATTACCGCTTCCATCCCAAGTGATCTTTTAACCTTTTTTCTTCGATCTGACAATTGCACTTTCTTCATCATGCCTTTCACTCCGTCCATCACTGGCATCAAGGCTGCACTAGACAACCAAGCGAGGAAAACAATTGTATTAGTATCAGGATTGTGTGAAGGGATGTTCATGGATTAGGTGAATGTGGGATCCCGACCCTTCCCTCACAAACCCTGACCAGGATGTTGAAGCGAAGACAAGAAATCGGGAGTATACAGATCACACGGACCAACACATCACAAGAACGGGATGAGTAATATGACAATGATCGGCCTATGGGGCGAAATCAACAACGAAGAGCGAGAACAAAACCCTAGCAAAAGGGTGGGTAGCCACGATTGTGCCAGCTTTTGTTGGTAGACAAGAGTTTCATTGCTATTCAACACTTTGATACGAAGGACATGTGAAATAGTCGTCCTATGTGGGTTGTTGGTAACCAATGCCAAACACGATGGTTGTTGAGTGTGGAAGATAAGGGAAGAGAGAAGAGAGATATCAAGTCATCTCAAAGATTTTTCGGTGGCCTCGCCCCTATATCGATAATACCATCCATGCAATTAATATTTGCATATACATATGGTTGCTTGCTAAAAATTGACTAACTAGGGACAATCCATGGGTTGTCACCCACATACATCATATACGGTTAGACCCTAGGCTCTAGAGTATTCTACAAGGGCGTCTACATACATGCCCTAGCGCACTCTCAACGTGTCTCTTGGTTCGATTGCAGTTACCAGTGTCTGTACCCCCCCACCCCCCACCCCCCTCGCCGTCCCCGTTCCCCTTGTTCATCAGGCTGCCCCGCCCCGCCCCGCTCCTCTCCTCTCCCCCCATTCGCTGGTAAGATCACGCG